CTCCATTGAGGCAATCCCCTTTTCTGCCATGTGTTCAAAATAATAAAAATACTTCCATCATAGAAATGTAAGGCTCTGCCATTTTGTCTTTGTCTGTTCACGCAGGGAGCTCATGCTCAAATTGAGTGTGTTTCAACATGATTACATTAATTTTAATTCAGCAAATGTTTTTTTCTAAAACTCGAGTTACATAAAAAAGTAACTTAAATAATATTAATTAATTTTCTAAAGTAATGCCTCATTTACACTAGCAGCAACTTTGTAGCTGTCTGTTGCCCTGGGTCATGACCTGCTGCAATTGTAGGTCTACAACAAGGAGAATACAACTGGCCTCCGAGCAAGCTGAGAGAGTATTACATGAGCTCTACAGGTGCTCCTATGAAGCATTGTCAACTTTGTCTTTTTACTTAACACGACCACCTGGTCGCCAACAGTTGCTGTCGCTCGTTTAGACGGAGGTCGCAAGAAGTGGCTGACGCTTCGTCGAAATGAACAGTCGAAAGAGGCTTAATGCGTTACTTTACTTGTTAGTAAAAAAATTACTATTAGTACGTAATTTGCGTTACTTCTAATGCATTAACCCCAACACTGATCATAAGATTGCATTGGACTATCAGAATTTTTTTAAGTGCGCATCCACCTTTAGTCTTGCAAAAAAAAAAAAGAAAAAAAAAACACACACAATTAAAACAAGTTCAGGCTGTGTATTCATTTTACACAAAAATCATGTCACATGCACTTTAAATACCAAAGTATACTTTGAGCTTCATACATAGACAACTCTGTCTTTCATAACACTGAAATAACTCATTAAAATCAGAAAAAAACTGAGTCTTATTAATAAAATGTTTCCAGGGTCGATACTGAAGCTAATTCGATTGCACTAGCACATGATATACAGTATACTTTTGTTTAAAATGCACACAAGGCACAACGCTAACAAGGAAAAGGTGTGTTGATCTGCAGTTACACCATCCTCCTATTTAACAATCAACTAAAACCATTTATTTGCATATTTGAAATTTGTGTTCACATGCAGCATTTTGAACATACTGCATGGTTAAGAACTGTCGTATTAAACATAGTGAATGTCGTGGTCAAGCTATTTCACATAAACCATTCGAATCCTAACCTCAGAGCAAAAAGCCATTCAGTCGGTCAGGAATCTCAGAGGTCGTTTACAGTCTGTGGGCATGTATTTATTTGGCAGACCTTGGGCTTGAATCATTTCTCTTCAGTGTGTTTGTTGAGCGCTGTTGACGGTGCTCACCGAAGCTGAATTCAGACGCCTCACAGACAAGGTCTCATTTTAGCGCCATCATGTTTGTCTGTGTTTTCTTAAAGGTTCGTTTAAGCCCTCACACATTGCCGCAGTGATAAGTGAATGCTGTTTTTGGGAGGATATATATATCCCAAATCATTCATGAGCATGTTGGCGGGTTGACTTTCATAAAGTAAGAAAGTGTGACGGCTAATTCCACAGACTTATGAAAGGAAAGATATGGCATATGAAATAGATGAAATCTGAGATTACCATTTTCTTTCACCTGCTCAGACTTGCAAAACTTGACATTTATATGACATTATATTAGTGTGGAAATTAGTGCTAAAGATCACGGATAAATTGATGGTTATCACTCACAGATACCCAAAGAAATATGTCTGTGACTATATATATATTTTTTTTGTTCTCGTAGTTATTAAATATCATCCTTTTTTATTATATCTTCTGCGATAACAGTTTTGGCTTCTGTCAAATTTACTTCGCCTGTGACTCAAGAATATAAAATCATACACACGTAAAAGAAAACTCAGCACCGAAAACCTGAGAAAGAAGTTTCAACACTCCATTAGAGTCAGTATCTGATAACACAAACGCTTCTGGGAAGAGATTTACAACTAAATATACAATGACCGATGCTTATTTGGAGGTGTGAAAAGTGGATATCAAGACTAACTAAGTCACTGTTTTGGATTTCATAGAGGAATTGACTGTTTAGATCAGCTCCTCTGCCTCATTTGGTACATTTATGATCAACCTAAAAGGTTTTATATGAGGAACAGATTTTGATGTAGCTTACTTGAGGGTGTACTATCTGCGTCTACACTAAAAACAGCTCTAAGAGCAGCGTTAAACGTATTGGAGCAGAAAAGGAGTCTATCCTACTGCTTGTAACTATCTGAGCTCAGTACAAGAACGCGTGCAGGTTATCTTTGTGATTCCTTTGTCATTTCAACACCTTTAATGGCAGATGAGCGTCGAGGGATGCACTATGACTTTAGAAACTGTGTGCTATATTATATTGAACGCATAGATCTTATATGTGTGTGCATGTGTATGTTTGTGTGTGTGCGGACAGTATTTGCATACATCTGTACATGTACAGTAAATCATACATCACATACAGCATCCCCAAAATGTATTTGGACATTTGAGTCACACTTTGAGTGAATGTCATTGTAATAGATAAGAAAAATAAATAGTGAACTTATTATCATCACTAAAGAAATAGCTGCTCACCGGCCACTTTATTAGGTACACCTTAATAGTAGCAGGTTGGACCTCGTTTTGCCTTCAGAACTGCCTTAATACTTTGTGGTATAGATTCAACAAGATACTGGAAATATTCCTCAGAGATTTTGGTTCATAATGATGAGATATTATCACGCAGTTGCTGCTGATTTGTCGGCTGCACATCCATGATGCGAATCTCCCGTTCTATTGGATTGAGGTCTGGTGACTGTGGAGGTCTTTTGAGTACAGTGTTATGTTATGTTAACATATTGTTATGTTCAAGAAACTAGTCTGAGATGATTCGTGCTTTATGACATGACACTTTTTGCTGTAAGTAGCTATTAGAAGATAGGTACACTGTGGTCATAAAGGCATGGATATGGTCTGCAACGATGCTCAATTGGTACTAATGGGCAGTGGTGGTTCTGGGGTGGGGGTGGGGGGATGGGCTAAATTTGGACACATAATTTTGTGTCAAAAAGCCACAGAGAAGCGAGATAAGCCGTCGGCGGCAAACTGTGGAGATATGACTGGGGCCTCTCTCGCGTGCTGTGTGTGTCGCGTGCACTTGCTCTCTCTGCTTTCATGCACATTTGCTCTCTCTGTCAGTGACGGTGCTGTGCGCATCAGTTTCCCACATACCTCAGAAGTTATCCCCCAAATTGTCACAGCTGCAGCAGAAGTTAAAACCCAAATTGTCACAGAAGCAGCAGATGTTAAGCCCCAAATTGACACAGCAGCAGCAGAGGTTAACCCTCAAATTGACACAGGTAATAAAAAGATTCAACTTCAGTCATGTTCATGTTTTAAAAAACTATCAATATGTCCACTGTTGATTATATTACACTTTTGTTTTCAATAGTGATTTTAAAACTTTTAATAGAGGAAGTCCTCGGCTAAGCATAGGCTTTTATTAATCAGAAATTGCGTACAAAGTTTTACATTAGGAAATGCAGTGTTGAATTTACAAACAGGCTGCAAATACAGGAGAACAGATGAAACACATTGATCAAATTTAGTTTTGTCACGCTCATGTAAAAGTAATATTCAACTCGTTTAGTTTTGCCTTCATTCGTTTTTGATTTCAGTAGTGACAGCACGAGTCTTCAACACATGATTTTTTACAACACGCTTTTAACCATAATAGTTTAACTAACTGATTTCTAATAACTACAGTGGATAATATTTTACTAGTTATTTTCAAGATTGTAGTTAAAGTTGTGTTCAGACAAAGTTCCTTTAAGTATTCTAAAAGATTAAACTGTAATTTAAAGACTTCACTAGGTTATGTTAACTAGGAAAGTTAAAATAATTAGTCAAGTTTTTGTATAACTTGTTTGTTATATAGACAATCAAAAATATATATAGTAAATATTTTTTAAGAAGGCTCATAATGATGTCCTTAATTTTTTTTTTCTTTTTCGTTTTTAACTGCTTTTATTCAAGAAATAAACTATAAGAAATAAGACTTATAATGACTTCAGAATAATATTTTTTTTTACAGGAAATACTGTGCAAATTTCCTTGGATTGTTAAAAATCAATTTGAAAACATTATTTTAAATTAACAGAAGGGCAAAACACATTGACTTCAACTGTATCCGTTAAAGCTTACAGGTGCAAAAAATGTGTCTTAATGTACTTGAATGCTATATGTGTGCAATCCTACTACAATACAAAGTGTGCCCCCAAAATGTGCCAAAAAATATCCTCCACACCATTACACCACCACCAGCGGCGTGAATGTTGTTGATGCCAAATTCTGACCCTACCATTCGAATATCACAGAAAAAATTGAGACTCATCAGACCAGGCAGCATTTTTCCAGTCTTCTTTAGTCCAATTTTGGGTAGCCTCAGTTTCCTGTTCTTAGCTGACAGGAGTGGTACCCGGTATGGTCTTCCGTTGCTGTAGCCCATCCGTCTCAAGGTTGGATGTGTTGTGCTTTCAGAGATGCTCTCCTGCATATCCTGGTTGTAACAAGTGGTTATTTGACTTTCTGTTGCCTTTCTATCAGCTCGAATCAGTCTGGCCAATCTCCTCTGACATCAACAAGGCATTTGCACCCAGAGAACGGCTGCTTACTGGATATTTTCCCTTTTTCAGACCATTCTCTTTAAACCCTAAAAATGGTTATGTGTGAAAATCACAGTAAATCAGCAGTTTTTGAAATACTCAGACCAGCCCGTCTGAGTATTTCATGCTACGTTCAAAGTCACTTAAATCACCTTTCTTCCCAATTCTGATGATCGGTTTGAACTGCAGCAGATCGTTCTGACCACGCCTATATGCCTAAATGCATTGAGTTGCTGCCATGTGATTGGCTAATTAGAAATTTGCATTAACGAGCAGTTGGACAGGTGTACCTAATGAAGTAGCCGGTAAGTATATGGAATTTTTCCACGTTAATGCCATTCAGTTAAATGAGATTTCAACATATATACATGTGGATTCAATGTTCAAATACTTTCTGGAGGCACTGAAGCTTTTTTTTTTTTCTTCAAAGGTTTTTTGTTTGTTTCTTTTTTGCTGTTTGTCATTTTCATTTATTCTTTAAAAAAAGAAAGAAAAAAAGAAACATGTTATCTTACAGGAAAACAGGACACACCAGTAACCTCAATTCACACTGTTCAATACTGAGCAAAAAAACCATCCAGTTATTCACGATTACATGAATTTTTGCTTCTCTTTTCACATACAAAAGGTTGGAGAGACACATATAGTGGTTCTATTATTATTATTATTATTATTATTATTTCTACCCAGCTAACAAACTCCACTCCATTCACAGTCCAGTTCACTGTTTCAAAACACGGTTAAACCCCAAAGCATCTCATTACAGACCCAGAAACCCACACTGACACGTGCCTTCAGAAATAAAACATAAGGCAAAATGATAAGCGGTAATAATAATAGCTGATCAAGTACTTTCCCCTGTTCTCGGTGTGTGGGACTGTGAGTCTTGTGTGTGTGTTTTTCGGACGAGCGGAAACGCTGCTTTAGCATCAAAACTTGCTGAGGAGCGACAGGGTTAAAAGCAGAGTTAGAAGCAAGAGCGAGCAGGTTGGCGATAAGGCTGCGTTGTTCACATCGTGTATCGCTCCGGGGCCTGCGGGAAGAGAAACCCTACACGTTAACAACCTCCCAAACATCCAGCGCTTGTCTCATCATGCATTAATGCAGTTCAAGGAATCTGCTATGCGTGCACGTGGTCAGGGTTAGCGCATGCCTGGAGCGACAAAAACAGAGCTGATGGAACTGCTGTAGGCAAACGTTTTACACATCCTGACACTCATTGACTTATCGGAGTTGGGATTTGTACATAAATGAATAGTTTAGTTTAGAGATGCACCAATTTACTGGCCTTTTATTATTTTAATTTTTTTTGGACTTGTAATCTCCCAGTACTGCAATAATTTTACAGTACAAGGTGTGTAAACAGACAGCAGATATTGTACTTTATACTTTGGTTTGAATGCCTTATGATTGGTTGAGCATGTTCTAAACTGTTAATTACTCTACAAATATACACCTGTATGGTCAGCTCCACAATCAATACTGAGCTTAAGAAACTATTTTTTTATTTTGTGAAACCTTTGCTATGCATAATTAATAATAATTTTATTTAAGTGTGTGTGATGAACAACCCTTTAAAAATTAAATAACCATGTGACATTAATTGTATTTGTGGACATTTTAGGGAAACATTTTGGGGACATTTTTACGTGACCATGAGTCGGGGAAAAACCATGTCACGGGGAAAAACAATTCTGTCCACAAAGATGAATGGAGATGGCATTAAAAGGCAAAACATCTGCAGAACAAATAGAAGGACAGAGTAAGCAAGGCTTTGAGGGTTGCTGGGAAACCATATCTGAATCTAATAGGAGAACAAAAACCAGGGAAAAAATCCACTGAAAGAGGTGAGTGGAAGAACTGTATATGTGACATAATCTACAGATCTGCGAAGGACAAATTTTTTTGCGCAAGGTTTTATTCCGCACCTGTCTGCTTCCACCGTACATTTAGCCTTTTTTCACCCGCTTCCCGACCTACCAGTTTTCTTCCCAACCCAATCGTTCCAGCTACATTTAGATTTGGTTTATAAAATCTCATGTTTATATAGGGTACTATCAAAAGAGAGAGATAACAGATACAACTGTAGGTTGTGCAAAGATTATAGGTTAAATGTCAGTTTTGTTTGCCAATTGTGATGAGACATGAGTGCCACCTTAAACCTTTCCAGTCTTGTGACTGCTTAAACTTAGCTATTATCACATCACGCAAAGTTTTTTTTTTTTGTGTGTGTGTGTGTATAATGTGTAAAAAAGACTCCCATACATCAGCTTTGCCTCATGTGGGTTTCCTTTTCTAATGCAAGCTGAATGTCTTTCAAGGACAGCGCATCTTCAGTTTGCTCTGCCATGGTAAAGTCCGCTCTGAGGACCGGTATGCAGATGATGTGCGCACAGAGTGTGCGGATAAAAAGCATGTACATAAAGCACTGGTCCATGTGTTCATCATGTGTAACAGTTGTTAGCACTGGCTGTACCAATAAGAATGAGGAAATCACTGATATACTGTTACGAAATAACGTCGGGACTCGGGAGCAGTATATAGACCACCCGCTCCCATTCAAATAATACCAGTTACCGACTGCTACCGTGTTTTTTTTTGGAAATTTATTCCCGTGCCGCATGAAATCTGGTCGGGTACTGCTGCGGGAATGCAGACCTCTAATGTGATCTCTCTCTCTCTGAATGTGATAATGAGCGCTAAACAACACAAAAACATTTAACCTATCAAAATAAACCACATAGCATATATAATAAAGCTGAATCAATGCATATTTCCCACCAGTCCAGTGTAAACTAAGGCAAGCAGAGTTTATTTGTTTACATATTTATTTAAATTGTGAGATGGCAGTAAGCAAGAACATTTTGAAGTAGTATACACATGTGCACTGCGTATATACTTTTGTAAATAATGGACAAGTTGACTATTGGAGCTACCTAAACATGCAAGAGTTTTTTTTTTTTTTCTTAAATATTTATTTATTAATTGTTACTGTAAGAAGGGCTTGTTACTATTGTTACTTGTTACTATTGTTACTATCGTACATTGTTCATAATGGATTTTCTGTTCTTAAATAATAATAATAAACAAGTTTAATAAATTATTAAGTTTCTGTTACTGTGTTAAAACTAAGATAAAGGAATCAGAAGTTTAGTAATTTAAAGTGATAGGATGAATTGCAGTTATACTGTTATTCCACACCATCTGGACATATACCGTTCTTCCACATTTGAGAAATAAAAATCACAATGACTTTGTATTTTTAATACTGACACTGAAAAATGTTATCTTAGAATTGAAATGCTTTTGTTGTCTATCTTTAAGTAAAATAAAAATATAATATTAATAATATAATATTCATAATCCAAATGAAATCATATTCCTCAAAATGTAAAAATGTGGACTTATTTGTTTCTTCCTCTCAAGGCCTCATTATAAAAAATAAAAAAAAAATAAAAAAATCCTGTAAAACCATTTACGGGTATTAGGAACTTTGCTTTACTGTTATCCATGACTTTATGTGGCTTACTCATTTAGAGGTCACATATTGTGTTTAAAAAGTGCACCGTTTCATTTAACAAAGTTCAATGCACTCACGTGCTTGTGGTTCACTGGCATCTGCCGTTGTTAAGCAACCATTAGCTGCACTCTCCAAGGAATCACCACTGACAAACCCTTGCAATAGCTCTAATATGGGTTTTGTTAATGGAAAAAAAAAAATTAAAAAGGGCCACCGTGTTTGGGTGCTCTGCAAGGTAATTAGTTTACCATTATTACTTAAATTTGTAAAATACATATTCAGACCGAAGCTGATTGGTAGGTTCTCGTCACATCACTTGCAGTGTACTAGGGGAATTCTTAAAATTTGATATGTTTTAGTGCATTATAGATGCACCAGGAAAGTCTCTATTTTTGTACACCTTACAATTGTTTTCATTTAAAATAATAAAATTGAGAATGCAAAATATGCAATTTGTGTGTGGCCCCTTAAGCTGTGATCACACTAGAGTTTGAACATGCAAAATTCTGTTGTGAGATGGTGCAAAACTGAGCAGGATAAAACAAGATGATTAGACATTGATAAAGCGAGTTATTGTTTCATATTCTACATTTCTGTAGACAGAGAGGTCATATTTTGATCTTCTATAGGTCTCACACATTCACAACGCATTTTCGCAGGTCAGACTTCAGAACTTTAGAATGCAGTGACATTAAAACTTATCAATTGACCTTGTGTTTCCGGATTGCTGCATTTGCAGGTGTATGAATGAAAGTGTATGGGACAAAAAGTGCAGCATAATCATGGTTTTGGTCAGCATCGCCATTACTAAAGAACAGCCAAACATTCACAAGACTTGCACTCACTTTAACCTAAAACAATTTCAACAAATATTGCTCATTTCATCCTTCTGTGAATTTATGATGTTCAATGTTTAACAAAAATATTATGTGGGTAAGACATTTCTGTTTAGGCCATTTTAATTATTTATCAGTTTAGATGATCACGCTTCAAAAAGAGAAATAAGTGCGAGATTAATATTATTTTCAGCCATAAGAATCTATATTTAAAGTTAAGGTAAACATATATACTTGCTATACATTCAATTTACCTGCTGATTTTATCTTATGTATGAGTTATTTGGTTGTGTTTGACAAACTCACTGGAAGAAACAGGATATGACAGCTGTTATAGGCAGAGCAGCTCGCTGTTCACACTATTTAAGAAAATCCTAAAAACTGAACTAGCGGAGGAAGGTTTTAATGAAATATCTAGGAAAAGAACCAACAAAAGTTTAGATGGTATTTTCTTTTGACCTCTGTATAATACCAGTTCAGTTGTTCGTCTCTAATACTAACCATGAAAACATTGTTATACCTCTATGTCTTCAAGTGCCGCTGACTGAAAAACAGTGAATTAGCATTTTATTTAGCCTTTATCTACTTTTTATCTACTTTGCTTAATACAGGTATATATTATGTAGCATAATTTAACAAAGCTAACTTTATTTTTTGAAATTGTAATTTAAACCACTTCCTACCCAAGGGTGCATTTCTGAATTATCATAGTACGTTGCATCCTTTGGGAAAAGTAAAATGTACTGATGAGTGTTTCCCAAAGCCATAGTTGCTTTGTCACATTGTTTAAACCACTATAGTTAAAATCATTAACGTAGGCTATAGATTTTTGTTTTCACAAGCTTTGGAGACGTAAATTCTGCTTTTAAACAATAGGTCACCTATAGTTTTTGTCATTAGCCACGGCTGCGTTCAAAATGACATGAATGTTTTGAAAAAGCACTGCAAAGGGAACGCAATTGTCAATCTGAAGATCACTAAAACTGATCTATAAAAATACTTTGAAAGCAAATTACACCTCAGAGATATGACTTTATTGTTTTTTTTTTTAATCATTACATGTTTAAATATTGGAACGTTCGAAAATAATAGGGCATAGGGAGGATGACTGTAAATAGAACATAACCAGATGATTAATGATTCTAACTATAGCTCTAGAGGTGTAGTTGCAAGTGTACAAGTTTGCGATGCAGTTTGCGAATGTTTATTGGAATGATAGATTTGGGAAACACCAATTCAACGCACAATGATTGTAACGACACAACCTTTGAACTTGCAACCTTAGTTAGTTAATAATGGTTTTCGGAAATGCACCCCAGGCTAATACATGTAGTTCCTTTGTTTAGATTGTGATTGAACTGCAGTGGATGCCTCTTATTTCAAATAACTGAACATAGTCAGCTTGTGATAAAGTAAATAAACACCTTGTTCATGCACTCCAATTAAGAACAAGAAAATCTGATTTGGAATTAAGATTGGTGCATCGCTAAAAGAAACAGCAACAACAACACATGGTCAGCGTTTGACACATAGTGATGTTGTGTGTTCTGAGCATCAGTTTATACAAATCATTATTCTTACCGTAGAGAATGATGCTGGCATTTGTTATTCCCAGTGTGTTGATGGCCACGCAGGTGTAGTTGCCGTAATCCTCCTCAGAGACGTTGAAGAACGTTAGCATGGACTGTTTCCCCTTGTTTTCGATCTTGACCCCGTTGAATCCGTTGAGGATTCTGGAAAAAATGTTGAGGTCAAAGTTAGCCTTGTGTTGAGATGAGCCGCTATTAAAAACAACATCTACACGAGTGGACGGCTGACGGCACAAATTAACTCTCGCTCACAGCTGTGTGTGACCTAATGTCTGACAAATAGGCTTATTTTCATAAATTTAATTAGCTAGCTCGTTCAAAACCATGACGTAGCAGTTTGCTGAGCCCTGGGAGATTTGAAAGGCATTTATTAATTTTTCTAATTAATTTCTGATGTGACTTTTACTGTTAATTAAGAATGTACCTGCACTCCTTACAGCACATTTTCAAAGTTTTAATAATAATAATAATAATAATAATAATAATAATAATAATAATAATAATAATAATAATAATAATAATAATAATAATAATAAAAACATTTAAATGTATAAAATGTAAAGTATCAACTTTGCTATTTTATTTATTTATTTATCATTTATTTATTTATTTACAATTTTAAACAACAATAACAACAACAGAAGCAGCAGCAACAACAACAACAACAACAACATCCATTTTGCTATTTTATTTATTTATTTATTATTTTAAATAACAACAACAACATTCATATGTATAAAATGTACAGTATATTATTGTTATCTTATGTTCCAGTATATATTTATAATAATAATAATAATAATAATAATAATAATAATAATAATAATAATAATAATTGTTGTTATTATTATTATTATTATTATTATTATTATTATTATTATTATTACATTAATAATACCAACAAAAAATAAATGTATATTATGTAAAGTATAAAGTTTGCTATTTGCTTGATTTATTTATTATTTTAATAATAATAATAATAATAATAATAATAATAATAACAAAAATAATAATAATAATAATAATAATTATTATTATTATTATTATTATTAAATAATTATTATTATAATAATAATGAACAACCATTTAAATACATATCTATACTGCTTTATAATGCAAATTTAATATTGATTATTATATTAATTTATTAATGTAAAATATATTTAATGTCATTTCTTCTTCATTTCAGGTTCAAAAGGTGGAAATAAAAGGAAAGAGCAAAACAAATGTTAATAAATAAATAAACTGTACCTGCGCTCCCCTTTAAACCACTGAAAATCAGCAAGAGGAACGGCAGACGCCTCGCACCACAGCACTCCTTTCTGTCCGACGGCCGTTCCTGTGCTGCGAGCTCTCGAAATGACAGGCGGATCTGTGAGATGGGGAAATTTAGAAACATATTCTCATAAAAAAAAAAAAAAAAGGTAAAGCCACCAGTGTGTGTAAGCTCAGTAGTATTTCTATAGCTTTTTTTTTATTATTATTAACAATAACAACAAAAACTAGCATAGTAATAAAATATTTAATAACAATTACCAATAGCACAGCAGAATATTTGTCTTTTCTCAAGACAGTAATAATTTATGATTATTGACAATAAGTATCGTTGAATTATTAGAATATAACGTGCTAAACAAGGTGGTGGTGCAATGCATAATGTCCTTTAAACCTCAGTTGTACTTTATTATTTATCATTATATTATATTATATTATATTATATTATATTATATTATATTATATTATATTATATTATATTATATTATATTATATTATATTATATTGTGTTATATTATAGTTACCACACCTAAAGACATTCTTCAGATTTTGTAATTGTTATATCCGTACAATATACATTGTTTTCCTTCCATTCTTGCTTCTCCGCCTAGCGCCTACTCTGACAGCTGATTGGTCAGGAGACCAGTCTGTCATCATTGAGAGATGGGGTGCTGCAAAATAAAAAGGACGCCAGGAAGTGTGGAAGAGTTTTTTCATCTAGTTTTTAGTTTTTGTATATTTTGCTGACACACACATATTGATTTTTGACTATTTTGCTTAACTTACATTTGGAAAAAATTCTTTATTTGGATAAAATATTTTCCATATTAAAAGGAGGTTTTGTCCTAACCAACACCTGAAATGGATATATTACAATTGGCTTCTAACAGAAAACTTTAACAATGATCACCTCAGGTAGACTTTAAGTGTTTTATTCAGTGTTAAATGCTGACAATGTGAGTTTGAATTGCCAGTAGGAACAGGTAGTACACCTCAGATCTTAAAAATAAAAATAAAGCATTTGAAATTGAACTTGAAGACTAAACAGGAGTGAATCAGAATGTACATTTAATAATGTTAAGGAGGGTTAATACAGATTAAATATTATAAATCTTACAATTTTGTAAGTGAGTGCATATTCTGTGCTTCTGATTAGCTGTATTTACATTTCCGTTGTGTTTCTTTTGGTGCAAACAACCAAATTGCTTATTACTGCAAATCTCGACACGTTGCATGTTGTTAGGACACGTGGTTACATGTAACCTGCTCTCCTAATGTGTACGCATGTAATATATCATTTGCTAATTAAAAACCTCATGTAAAACTCTGAATCTCATTTTGGAGTCTGCCACTGTCCACAAAGGGGTCGCATTATGGTCATAGAAGCATGCTTTCAGAGCCTTTCTGAATGAAGGAATGAATTAATAAATGAATGAATTACGTGGTTTTCTACCAAGCCAAGCTGGGGTGCTGAATATAATTTGCTAAACTGGCTTTGGGTAGGTTAAAATTACTAAAACAAAGACTGATGTTCCAGCACGGAAAACACATTTCAAAGCAGAATTTCTGACTTTAGCATTGTTCTTCAGATAAACAAGAATGTTACCTTGGCATGTTTCTTAAATATCTGCAAACATATTATAGTATTTTTATGTTTTAGAAGAGCCAAAAACATACATACAGCACATTTAAGCTAGGTAAGGAAGATCTCATATGACTTATATCTTGCAAACATATACTGTAGGTAAATTGTTGTAAGAGACACCAGCTGAAAATAAGGTAGAAAACAACACACGGCACTGAAAACTTTTTTTCTTTTGTTTCATTATGCTCTGTAGTGAGTTAGAATTGTTTGTTATATTTCTTTCTTTAGTTTGGCATCACTAGCGTCCCCTTACTTCTCAGTTTGCCTAATATTTTAGTTTGATACTTTCTTTTTGAACATGCAACTTTTATATATATTTTTCATTGTTGTAAATCTTTCATTTTAAATATATATCTGGGCATCTGTATGGTTTTCACTTGTGTAAATGAAATCACTTTTGTTGGCATTTACATTGTCTGTCTTTTTGATTCCACCATCACATGGTAAAATCGCCACACCATAAATGTTATCCTTTTTAACCCAGGATTAACGTCAAAGAGGTTGTAGCATATTTAATAACTAATTTAAAGTTGTCCTTGAACAGATTTGGTTGTATTTATTTATTGTTTGACAGTTGTACAGTGTGAAAAAACTGAAATCATACGGCGTAGTGATATTGAAGTGTAATGCAGTGAAAACCTGCCTTGGGCTACTTTATCTTAAACACACTTTAGCTGTGTGTTATCTGAAAATAATTCATGATCAAATATTTGAACTGTGTCTTATACAGATCTACAGAGAACGGAGGAATAAACTCACAGTTTACAGTGACCTGGACAGTCCTGACATCTGGAGGTGAGATGTCATTGGAAGTGATGCAGTCATATGAGCCTGACATGTCTTTAGTGATTCCTGTCATTTCCACATATTCGCCCTCCGTCACGATACGGTTCCCTGTGGCGACACACACATAGAGGAAAATGCATTATTAACACACATACATTACTGAGATTATGAAAACGCACATGTTTTAAAAGGCCTGAGGGTGTGCTGAGATAAAGAGCAGACTGAGAGGCATTTATACAGGCACCATTGCTCACTGTATGCTTAGATTTTAGTGAAGAAAATATGTTTTTGAGCTGAAGAATAAACACTTTGACAAAATGTGTATGTTTTGTACACTAAAAGACAAAAGCCCATCACAAAACACATATACTTAATTGCACATATTTATATTATGCTCAAGGTTAGCCAAAATACTCTGAACTTACTCCCAGGAGAGGTTTTGAAACTGATATAGTTACAAACTAGTCAACATTACCTCAAAATTGCTTTCTGGAAAACACCACAGGGCATTATTTGAGCCAAACAGCAATACTTGTATGACCCTAACAAGCTAACAAGACATAATTACTAAATTATTGATGGTAAAAAAAAAAAATTAATTTAAATTAAATCATGAACCTCTCATGAAGTAAATTTTTTAAAATGTCAGTGAATCTGATTATCTGCATAAACGCACAGCATCATTTAACCTGTATGCACGCACGCACGCAAACACACACACATGCAAAATATAAAATACATTTCTTTATGCCACTTCCATTCAATCTTACAAGACTCAAAATCATCCCTATGTCAATTAAATGCATCAACGGGATGTCATAATACTTATTTTTCCTCTTATTCTCCTAAAATGAAAGGTGCTAAAACAGGTTTTCCACAGTAATGGAAAAAATAAGTCTTTTAATAATCCAGAGATTTTTGTGAAAATCCTGAAAGAAAAAAAATGTTTTTGGAGCCCTTTATCTTTTGTGTACTCAGGGTTTGTTATTTCAAACAGAGATGCATGCAAATAGGAAGTGACCTGGATGCTGTGTGACATGCTTGTGGTATGATGCGCCAGTATTTTTCCATAGCTAGTTGAAAATACTAGGGATGTCCCGATCAGGTTTTTTTTTTTGCCCTCGAGTCAGAGTCATTTGATTTTAAGTATCTACTGCCTGATCTCATGACGAAACGTAAGTATTTTACGTTTTGTCAGTTTAGTGGCTAATTTGTATGAATTTGTACAAGTTCAGTCGTACGAAAATGTACAATTTTAAAAAGGAGGCATGGCATCCACCCCTAACCGTCATTGGGTGATGAGAAAATCATACTAAATTGTACAAATTAGATCGTACAAATTCATAAGAATTAGCCACTAAAAAAAAAAAAAGGTTACAAATTGCAGTGAAATTGCGTTGATATCTACCAATACCGAAACCCAATCCAATACTCCTTTTTTTTTTTTTTCAATTCACCTTATTTTAAAATTTAACAACCCTGTTAACAAACAGATCACTTCTGTGAGGTAGCTTGAACAATCAAGTAATAAATAAAATTAATTCTTTACCTCTTGCAATCCCAAGTTTACATATCTCAAAGTTTGCTACGGTAATGTTGTTGTCATCATCTTTATAATACCTCCAGACAGCAGACATACTTGTGCTTTTGTGTTCACTTTGCCAGCATTTAACCAGAAGAGTCTTTGCAACAATGAAGTCAATTGTGTGAAGTCAAGAAAGAGGTCTAACTCTGTACCAGCACATAACTTTAGATGTGTTAAAAAATTATGAAAACATATATATGTATACAAATATATTCAAGTCCTGATCGGGAGTTAATTTTCGATTCCGATCGAGTCCTGAAGTTGTGTGATCAGGCTCGATTTCCAATCACGTCATTGGATCTGGACATCTCTAGAAAGTACCTCAACTTTTCAGAAAACAGCAAGCACACCACTAATCAACAAACATCCAATTAGCTTCATCCTTTGTATAGATTGTACACATTTGGTAGTAACTATAGACTAATTACTTCAGACAAACAAATGAAAACATTTTAAATAAAACATGGTTGCCTCCAAAGTCGCCTACCACTCAAGTAGGTGCTACATTTGAATTTGAAACTACACGAGCGTTGGAAAAGTATGTTCTATATAGTATGAATGTGAGTAGAATGAATGAAGCTCAGACATATTACATCAGTCAGTTGCGTTGCTTCAATCACATCCTTGAATTTTCTCACGTGACATCATGGGATAGCGTAGCGTCCATTAGATGTGCACTTTAGAATCTTCTACTTCTCACCTACTGTTTTTTTTTTTTTAATACTATGAATTTAGACATACTAGATTCGCATACTGGGCTCTGTTTTAACGATCTAGGCGCAAAGACTAAAGTGCATCGCACAAAAGCATTAGGGGGTGTTCGAATTCACTTTTGCTATTTTAATGATGGAAGAATACACTCTGCATCACTGTGCATAGTCTAACAGGGTTGTGCTTATTTTCTTAATGAGTTATGGCTGTGTTTTGAGCATAACATGCATTAAACCAATGATCAGAGTCGCATCTCCCATTCTCTTTAAGAGTTAGTTGCATTGTGCCATGATTCATTACATATTTACATGGTGAACTTTGTAAGTGGAAAACCTGAATGCTTAACTATCCAGAAAACAATTAAACAGTTCCGGAAGACAGAACAATACGGGAGATGAGTTTGAAATACAGGAGACTCTCGGGAAAAACGGGAGTGTTGGCAGATTGCCTGAACTAACGTGCTCTGCATTGACAATTGAGCAGTCTATTTAAGTTCCTCAAAATATCAACTCGTAAACAATACGCCTTAACACACCACCTTTTAAGACACTCATGAGTCCAGAAAGTGGCACAAATGGATTTGCTATTTAAACAACGTGGCGCAAACGGGAAAATGAGGGTTGCGTTGGTCTGAAAATAGCAGCAAATTGCACCATACACATCTTGCAGCCTAGTGTGCCGGCCAGGGTGTATGATAAGACCCACTGTTTTTAGCGTACTATAGTATGTCAGATAAAGCCCAAGTATCACAGCTGCAGCAAGGGTTTGTCAGAGAGCATAGCTGATGGTTGCTTAGTAATACAGACATAACGGGAGGACAAGCTCAGAAGCACATTGAAAGAAGCAGCACACCCCATGGTTTTAAACACCATATGTGATCGGCCCCTAAAGCGTTCACACTTATTCTGCTTTGATCTACAACGAGCAGACTTTCTTCAACATGATGGGAATCCAAAAGCAATCAGATGTGTCTGGATGTCAATACCACACATCTGTTAGACCTGTGTGACCCCTCTGCTGTTGTTCATCATTTCACCAAACCCACCTGTACCTTCCAAGCCCATTATCAAGGCCAGAAATGATGGAGCAAAATCAAGATTCACCCTCAGGTTTAGTGAAATGTCAGTCACTGCAGAAGCGTCTCATTAACAGAGGCGCTCAAAGGTTGAGGACTGGACTGAGGTTGTTATTTTGTTTTAATAACATGGCCTTGGGGATTGGCAATTATGCACATCTCCTTATATGAGTCTGACTAGGAATGTTAAAAAACATTGAGGGATCATTGCGCTCCAAATGCAACGTCCTGGGCCTGAAATGACAACCCCTAATTTGAAATAATGCAGTTTCTACAAGAATCTGTCCATGCGAGGAGACTTAATGTGTTTAAGTATGTGGAGTGTAATGATACAGCTGTTTTCTGCTCTGGTTTTATGGGACATATAGATGGGCAAAAATGAACCCCATTTTGTTCAGCTTAGATTGTTGAAAATCATTTTAAAAATAATGTGGAATACAAAAAAATGTTTTGAAGAATAATAATCCTACATTACTGGTCATTTTTTTTTTTTGTCATGAAAAAAGCCTATTATGCTCTCAAAGTCTGCATTATGTGAAACAAATGAATGCATATATACACAGCCAAGCCCGGAATGACCCGTATCCCTTATTATTTGAGTAACAATAAAAATGTTACATTATATTATATACTGTACATTATGAATACAATATATTTGAGCAATATATGAATATATCAGTTTTGTTACTAGAAATAAAATACACATAGAATGTTATCTTTATTAAAAAATATATAATTTAATTGATTATATTTGCCACTTAAATACTCGGTTATGTTTAACTTACACTGTATAAGGTCAGTTATATGCTTTGAATATAAATCCATTACATTGTATATGTAAGTTCATGATTGTCATAAAAGGTTATAATACAACAATATTACTATTACTATTATACATCTCATAAGAACCATTTTTAACAATTGAAAATAAAAAGTAAATATGTGAGGTTAAAATAAATATTCACTACCTGACAAAAGTCTTGTCACCTATCCAAGTTTAAGCAAGAACAAATAATGACTTCTAGTTGATGATTTGGTATCAGAAGTGGCTTATATAAGAGGCAAAGGCCTCTAGATTACACTTATTTTACCAAAATTAAATAAGATCATGCTTTGATTGTTAATGATTTAATTAGGACAGTAAGGTCTGACTTTGCTTAGACAAAAGTCTTATGTTTTAACAGAAATAATGTCCAGTATAGACTATAAAGTCATGATGCAGTGGACAAAATAATTAATATTGTGCATGAATCCCATGAGCTTGGACGACTGCATCCATACATCTCTGCAATGACTCAAATAACTTATTAATAAAGTCAACTGGAATGGCAAAGAAGGCATTCTTGCAGGACTCCCAGAGTTCATCAAGATACTTTGGATTCATCTTCAATGCCTCCTCCTTCATCTTACTCTAGACATGCTCAATAATGTTTATTTCTGGTGACTGGGCTGGAAAATCCTTGAGCACCTTGACCTTTGTTGATATCAGGAACTTTGATGTGGAGGCTGAAGTTTGAGGAGAAGCGCTATTCTGCTGAAGAATTTCCCCACTCTTGTGGTTTGTAATGTCATGGGCGGCACAAATGTCTTGATATCTCAGGCTGTTGATGTTGCCATCCACTCTGCAGATCTCTCACACGCCCCCATACTGAATGTAACCCCAAACCATGATTTTTCCTTCAGCAAACTTGACTGATTTCTGTAAGAATCTTGAGTTCATGTCGGTGCCAATAGGTC